TAAAAATAGAGGACAGTTAAACCAGAATTTTTTTTGCCCCACTGGACAGAAAAATCGCCAAATGTTTGATATTTATTTTGACAGCAGAACAGTTTTCATTCATTTTTGGACGTAATATAGTTCTTTTGCATATATGTTGATAATTGGTCCTCTTTGCTAAATTTACTAATAATCAATAAAATTATACTACATGTGGAGAAATTGCAAAGTATGTTTACTTGTTTCGACAGCACTGGAGAGCATGGAAGCATATTATTATAGAGACAGTGTTTCTGTGGAAGAATTTCAAGCTCAGATAAATGCAGCCTCACTGGAGAAGGTCAAGCAGTACAACCAGAAGCTCAGGTATTTAACATTCCAATTAAAAAAAATAAATGTCTATATTTTGATAGAAAATATATTAATAGGATTTTTTATGTTATTCATTTTATTAGATTATTAATGACATTTCTTTTGATATAAAGTTCTTGTATTTAGGATTTAATGTTTTAAATATTTTCATCTGCTATGCTTTTTCCAAATAAAAATAATTAAGTGAAAGTGTTTTGAAAATTTTTAGGCAAGTTTTAAAATTTTTGAAAAGATAAAGAGAAGGAGTTAAATATATAGAAGACCATTTCCAAGAAAGAAAATCACTGACATATGTTATAGTGGTATCCCTATGCGATTGAGTGGATTAAGAGTAAAATATATTTCTCTGTGTACCATTAAACAGCTGGTGCCCCCATACAGGGAGAAGAATATGTGTTCAGCATGGAATATATGATTTATCATGTACTTGGTATTGGAATAATATTTACTTTTAATGCATTCCTTAATGCTTGCATTTTACTGTCTTTTTCCTCCAAAAAATAGTATTACTGGTACAATGATAAATGACAGGAAAAATTAACCACAGGAAGTGAAGGGAAAATGTATTATAATTCAAAAGTTTTATTTGTCAACAAATTATTAGTCTATATATATCTTCTTATCTTATGAATTATCCTGTTGACAGGTCACTTTTAAAAAATTACTTAACAAATTAAGGGTTTTATTTTTAATTGTAAAAGATAATTTTGTTCTAGCTTTAGCCTTAATAAATCAAAAATACTATTTTGACATTTTAAATTTTTTATCCTGTCAACTTAAAGGAAGAACCTGAGGCAAAGTTAATGTAAGTAGAGAGTTTATTTGGGCCAAGCTTGAGAATTGCAACCTAGGAGCATAGACGCAAATTGCCCTGAATGTTCACTCCAATTAACAGCAATTACAAATAGATTTTTTAAGTGAAAAATGGGAGACAAGGAGTGAGCTGATACAAAGTTGTTTGTCAGGCATTCTTATTGATTTACAGAAAGAACATTGACAAGTAACATTGGCTATCCATTGCTAAGCTGTAGGGTGTGGGTTATAGTGTTCAGTGTGACATCATTAGGATACGTTATAACTACTTACGGTGGTAGCAGGCAGTTACAAAAGATAAATAAATAGCTCAAAAGGAGTAGAGGGATGTGATTGCTGTCTTATTATAATGTCTCTCCAGGCCAGTTAATTAAAATAACTTGCATTCATCAGATAAAAGTTATTTTGTTTTCTCATTTCCCCCTTTTGATCAAAAATCATTCTTCTTGACAGCATTGATGATTAAAATTTTAGTATCAAGGTGTCCATCATTAGGAAGGTTCATTCCCAAGTAGTTCTGTCAATGTTATTGATTTATGGTTGCTGTTGCTTGTTGAATCCTACCTAGATTCAGAATATCATCAATTTAGTTTCCTCAGAAGAAGGAAAACAACAATAGATAGTGGAAATATAATCTATGTAAGGATTATAACTAAAAATAAAATTTAAATGCCAAAACAACAACAAAAATAAACCTATTTCATTAGGGAGTCAACTAAAAACATCATGACGAAAATTAAATCTAGGTTCTTCTTTAGATACTTGTAGCCAGGAAGTAATTCAATATTTAATCCAAATTATAAGCAAATAATAAAGCTCAAAAACAATGGACAAGACTAGAATCTAGTAACAGGCATACTATAGTTTTTTTTTTTTTTTTTCTGAAACACTTTTTCTTTATCCAGTTCTCCATTTTTACCAAAGATAAATCTTAGTTGAACCAAGTTACTTGCAAAATGAGTTTTAGTGTTATGTTACTTTGCCTGCTTATTTGCGGGAAGTGTAAAAGAACAGTGAATGGCCTAATTTCTTTTAAGTTAGCTTTACTGGGACTTCCATAAGAGCCTCAGATTCAACTTTTAAAAGCCCCCAAGGCCAACCAATCCAAGGATTTGCCATCAGACCGTCTGCAGTACTTGTATAAAATGAGTCACCTGCTCTTCTTGAGATCCCAAAATAACTTGAGGTTCCTGGGCCTGTCAGAAAGTGACATTCTTTAGTTACCATGAGGACAGAAACTTTATAAAGGAACTATGCAGAGAAGGTACTAGACCAGCCTTTCCAAGGGTTTTTTTATTGGCTCTATAAAGTCTACATCAATTCCTCAAAGCAGTCTGATTGTATCTGAAACGAAGCCATTTCAGTCAAAGTTTTGGTAAAAGAACCAGTATATCTAATTATGTGTCTTAAAGAAAGAATACAGATTTTTGTTGAATTTGTACAAACAACTATATTGCTAGAAATTAAGAGTACTTAATTTGAATAATAGAATATCAACTTCTGTCTTTGCATCAGTATATTATTAACGGTAAAGTTGTTTTAATAAAACCTTATAAACAAATTCATCCAATCTTAATCAGCTTTGACCACACAAGATAAGATTTTCAGAAACCTTTCATCACCTTTTAAAATTTTCTATTAGTTAAAACCTTGTTATTCAAACAGCGGGCCTCAGATCCTGACCCTGCATCAGTATGCTTTTAATATTAATATTAAGTTTTTACAAAAACTCAATAATCCCCTTTTAATTTTAGCCAACCTGATCACACACAAAATTTCTTTCACAAGATCCATCTTCTACAAACCTTCTACAACTTACTTAAAACATCAATTGTATCCTACATTTTACCATAGAACAAAAATTTCCTTTCCTTTCCCCATTATCAGGACCATATAAAGTTCTCTTTCATGTAAAAGAAAAATTATTCTGTCTTTTCAACTTTCTTTACATTTTACTTTCATTATATGTTCTGCATATAGACATTTTTCTCTAATATCTGGTAGTTTTAGTTATACATACTGAGTAAAGTTTGTATTAGTTTGTTCTCATGCTGCTAATAAAGACATACCAAAGACTGGGTAATTATAAAGGATAGAGGTTTAATTGACTCACAGGTCTACATGGCTGAGGAAGCCTCACAATCATGGTGGAAGGCAAGAAGGAGCAAGTCACATATTACATGCCAGCAGGCAAGAGAGAGAGCACGTGCAGGGGCACCCCCATTTATAAAACCATCAGATCTCTTGAGACTATTCATTGCCCTGAGAACAGCATGAGTAAGACCTGCTCCCATAATTAAGTTACCTCCCACCAGATCCCTCCCATGATGCATTGGAATTATGGGAGCTACAGTTGGAGATTTGGGTGGGGACACAGCCAAACCATGTCATTCTGCCCCTGGCCCCTTCCACCTCTCATCTCCTCACATTTCAAAACTAATCATGCCTTCCCAACTGTCCCTTAAAGCCTTAACTAATTTCGGCATTAACTCAAAAGTCCACAGTTTAAAGTCTCATTTAATACCAAGCAAGTCCTTTCCACCTATAAGCCTGTAAAATCAAAAGCAGTTTAGTTACTTCCCAGATACAATGGGGGTACAGGCATTGGGTAAATACACCCATTCCAAATGGGATAAATTGTCCAAAACAAAAAGGCTACAGGCCCCATGCAAGTCTGAAATCCAACAAGGCAGTCATTAAACATTAGAGTCCCAAAATGGTCTCCTTTTACTTCATGTCTCACATGCAGGGCATGCTGATGCAAGAGATAGGCTCCCATGGCCTTGGGCAGCTCTGCCTCTGTGGGTTTGCAGGGTACAGCCCCACTCCTGGTACCAATTTGCTGTACTAGTTTGTTCTCATGCTGCTAATAAAGACATACCTAGGACTGGGTAATTATAAAGGAATGAGGTTTAATTGACTCAGTTCCACATGGCTGGGGAGGCCTCACAATCATGGTAGAAATCAAGGAGGAGCAAATCACATCTTCCATGGCAGCAGACAGTAGAGAGCATGTGCAGGGGAACTCCCATTTAGAAAACCATCAGATCTCTTGAGACTTATTCAGTATCATGAGGACAGCATGGGAAAGACTCACCCTCATAAATCAATTACCTCCCACCAGGTCCCTCCCACAACACATGGGAATTATGGGAGCTACAATTCAAAATTCGGGTTTGGACACAGCCAAACCATATCACAGCTTTAACCTTGTAACTAATTTTCAGTGAAAAACCTAGGAAGCAAATAATTTTGAACTATTTTATACTAGTATTTTATGAAAACCATTTTATAATTTTTTAGAAAGAGGTTTTCTAAATTTTCTGTTTACTAACAGATCTAAATATATTCAGCTTTACTATGCTATATAAAAAATTGATGTTAAAGTATATAAACATACATTTATGTTTAATGATTAATGTTTCAGTATTTTAACTTACTTAGAAATGACTTAGACATTTTATGATTAGCTATTAATTAATTTAACATAACATAATCCTAAGATTTTTAAATTACTCAAAAGAATTCTGAAACTATGAAACAGATACTCTCTCCAGATCCCAGATCTAAATGCTCAAATCCAAAGACATAAGCTCACAAATTAAGCAAATATTTTAAAATATCATACGAATTACAGGTTTATGACCTTAAAACATCTAGCAGAGATAGTATAAACTTGAGTGACCAACAGACAAAAATTTCCTAATTAAATTATGAAGCTGTTTCTATTTTATTTTACCAACAATTTTAAAACTATTTTTATTTACCAAAGATAACTAAAATCATCTGAATTTAAAAAGCATTTGGTCTAGTTATTTAATTTATGAGAACACATATTTACAAGTCAGTTTGGTGTCATAGACAACATACAAAAAGACGTGTACACATGTATACAAAAAATGCAGGCAATCATAGAGATCTTATAACTTCAGTTTTAAAACCTTTCCCATGAATCAGGTAAAACTCTCTAGTTTAAATGGACAGTTGTGCCTTTGTAAATGGAAAATGTTAAAGTTGATCTGTTTCACATGGCTGAAGCCCTTACTGAAGTTTAGAGAAATAGGGTAGCAAATTTACATCTCAAATCACAGATACAAAATTTAATATTTTTAAAGAAGGAATTTGGGTATGTTAGGGGAAGGTTAAAAATGAATTTCAAGGTAACACAAAATCATAGGAATTTACCATAGAATTTCATAAGGAGGCCAATTTCATTTAGATAGGTAGCTTTTAATTTAATGTCTGTTTTCCAAGTGGATAACTGAACTCAAGGTGGAGCTCATTAAGGAACAGGGCCAAAAAAGCATTTGCAGTTTTTAAAGTTGAATAATTTAAATATGTGAAAAGCCAGCACAGTTGGAAGACAGAGCATTTAGATTTTTTTAAATCAAGCATTCTACTTTTATATTGAATCCTGGAATCTCCCCTCACAAAAAAAGGGAAACACCATGGGACCCGGCCAAGCAATGCTTCTACAGTACCCTGTGCTACAAAGACATTTCTCTAAGGTTTAAACCTTACCTGTCTCATCTATACTGCCAGGGAAATGAGTACTGTCCTGTAGCAATAACCATTTACTGTAAACAATAGCCCTCAGCCACCTCCAAAACCATAACTCTGCCAGTGACTCACCAGTCATCACATATACCAAGGTCAAGTTCTCTCTCAGTACCAAGTAATCTCTGGTACTCCGGAAAGCCAACAAAATCAGGTAACACAGCACAAAAGATGGTAGAGTATGAGGTCTCAGAGGAATCTGTGACTTTCTAGACTTCACAGCAAGACAAATGACCCCCAGAAGGGGTCAGTGGCACTGTTTTCTGTGTTTCTCAAACAGTCTGAGTCATTAGATGTCTCTCCCAGATCCTTTTATGTGGTACTGAAGATGGCAAAAAGGAAAAAGGAGTCAGGAGGAATAGAAGTAAGTAAGAGAAGAGTTTTTAAGAAAGGAAGTGAACAGAGGAGACAAGCAGATAATTAATGAAGGGTTTCTATCCACAGGAAGCTAATCTTCCCCAAAGCAGGAATCAAAGAGAAAAAAGCAGAAAGGGCTTAATATGTATGAAATGTATATGTACATATATACACACACACACATATATAAATATATTAATATATATGTTTATAATGTGTTTTTGTGTGTGTACTTAAATATCAGCTTCAGTCAAGCTGACTTCTGACCATAGTAGAGCCCTTTAAAAACATATTTAAATATATGAATTTATATATTATATTTATAATATATATTATTTATATATAACATAAATTAAAAATATATTTTAATAGTTTTTAAATTTTTCGGATTATAGCCAAGACAAACAGCTGATGAATCTTTTGAATCTTTTTTTTCTTTTTAACCAAAGGCACTCTCCCAAGTGGCAAAGTCAAAAGTCACAAAAATACCAAACCAAAAGAAGCTGGTTCCCTAATCAGGAATCAAACCTAGGCCTTGGTGGTAAGAACATAAAATCATAGCCACTAGACCACAGAGTGGAGGGTTTTTTTCTTTTTCTTTTTTGTAAATCTTGCAAGGTATTTTTTTTTTAAATAAATCTTGCAGGATATTCAAAGCAGGCCATTTGAACATTAGAGGATTTTAACTTGATTCGGATCTAACCTCAGCAGGAGTGCTGCTCAGCTCATTCCTCGGATGTTAACATTTCAACATCAGCATCAATAATCTTGTTTTTTAAAAAAATTGTTATATCTACATGTTTATAATCTCAGTAGTTTTAATTTAATTCATTTCCCCGTTTTAGACTATTAGTCTTTTAATTAACTGTTATATTGACCGAAAAATTGTCAGCTAGGCAACAAAGGTGTATTTTGGAGACACATCTTGTTCATTGGGTGGTCTTTTTATTCATTTATTTATTTACTTAAATTTCTCTCTTTTTTTTACCCCTATCTCCTCGGTGTCTTCATGATGGGTTTTTCAGTTAGCAAAGAATAGTTTGAGAACCAGGCATCCCCCAGAACCAGAAGGAGCTCATAGAGACTCCAGGACTGGAGTCACTATGCCTCAATAGGAGTTTCAGGGAGGGAGCCAAACACCTGGGGAATACCCTCTGGTGGTGGTGATGGGTATGTTCTGTTTACCTCCTGAATGGAGGCAATTGTCTCAGGGTTTCTTTTAGAAGTTTTCTTTTTTAAAGGACCATTGGAAGTAGGTATTTAATTGTCTGCTTCCAAAACCAGCTTTTTCTAGTTGTGCACATAAATAAATTATTTTAGGTATTTCAAAAGATCCCCAGTTTTGGAGAGGTTTATTTTTTGACAATTCCAGGTTAGGTGGATCCACATTCCTAGATATTTAATAGAGGATGTCCATAGTGTTATATATAAATTCAGCTGATGTTTAATAAGAGTTGGTTACAGATGAAAAATGATGCCCAGGCCAGGCACAGTGGCTCATGCCTGTAATCTCAGCACTTTGGGAGGCTGAGGCAGGTGGATCATGAGGTTAGACGTTCAATACCAGCCTGGCCAACATTATGAAACTCTGTCTCTACTAAAAATACAAAAATTAGCTAGACATGATGGCATATTCTTGTAATCCCAGCCTCTTGGGAAGCTGAGGCAGGAGAATTGCTTGAACTGGGACCCAAGAGGAGGAGGTTGCAGTGAGGCAATATCTGTGCCACTGCACTCCAGCCTGGGCTACAGAGGGAGACTCCATCTCAAAAAAAGAAAAAGAAGGAAAAGAACAAGAAAAATTAAGCCCCAAATTTCAAAAATAGGAAAGTATCTGCAATTATTTTTAGGCATGCTGTGTAAAACCAGACCACTGGTGCCTAATTGGCAATCCTTACCCAAACCTCTGCTGTAGACAGGGGCAGGAAAACTTTGACCTGAGGGCCCTTGTCCTGAGACAGGCTGAAGGAGGAAGTTCTCTGCAGAGCTCTTTGCCTGAATCATCTGTCCAAAGACAGAGACTGAAGCCCTCACTCATAAAGGAAAGAGAGAGGTTTTGAGAAACAGCTCAAATAAAGTGTAGACCTTTGACCAAAAGCTGGGAGGTCTGAATTCAGGTGAACTCACCTGAAACTCCCAATAGAACTTCTGAAGATGGAATGTTTGTGCTGGTATCAAGCCCTGCTTTCAGAGAAAAACACCAGGTGGTCAGAGTAGTCTCTCTGAACCCTGCCAAGTTATGCCAGATATGTTGACCTAAAAGGAAGAAGCAAAAGCAAAATTAAGTAGAGAGTTTATTTGGGCCAAACTTGAGGATTGCAACCTAGGAGCATAGATTCAAGTTGCCCTAATACATGCTTTGATTAGCAGCAGTTATGAGTGGATTTTTAAAGGGAAGAAAGAGGCACAAGGAGTTAATCTTGACTCCTTAAAAAGTATGTCTACTGACTAAGAAACACTGATTTAATAAGTTTAAGTCCAATCTTGCAAAAATCTTTCAATTGACAATTGTCATCTCAAAAGAAATTTTGCCTTGATACCTGACAAAATATATTCTTCTTTGGCTGGGTGCAATAACTTATGCCTATAATTCCAGCACTTTGAGAGGCTGAGGTAGAAGGATGACTTGAGCCCAGGAGTTCAAGACCAGGTTGGGCAACATAGGGATACCCTGTCTCTACAATTTTATTTTTTAATTAGCCAGGTGTGATGGCATGTGCTTATGACTCCAGTTATCTCAGAGACTGAGGTGCGTAGATGGCTTGAGCTGTGGAGGTCAAGTCTGCAGTGAACTGTGATCATACAGCACTGCACTCCAGCCTGGTGACAGAGAAAATATTAAAATTAAAAATTTATTTTATGTCTTAAAACACAAAATTAAAGCATTTGTAGAGAACTTGTAGCTCTCTACGAGCTACAAGTTCTGAGAATATAAGAGAATATAACTCTTGACTCCAATTTAAGAAAATGGGTCTACAACATTGCTCTAGCAATTTTATCTCTTTGTTGAGGAGAACCAGAGTTGTTTTAATTTGCTCAGGATTTTGCTTTCAGATAATAATTTTAAGCCACAATTCGCACTGTGTCACTGTCCTGCTCAAAGCACTTTAGTTATGTCTTATTCTCACCCCCTAAAAAAGTCGCAAACTGTTTAGCATGGCACTTGGGGTCTTTCATGACTTGGCCCAAGATTGCTTTTGTCTACTGTCTATGGATGCATCAGATGGATCAGCAATGCTGTGTTTTCCACTTTTTTGAAGACAGAGTCTCACTCTGTCACCCAGGCTGGAGTGCAGTGGAGCATTCTTGGCTCACTGCAACCTCTGCCTCCCAGGTTCAAGTGATTCTCCTGTCTCAGCCTCCCCAGTAGTGCCACCACAGGTGTGCCACCATGCTCAGATAACTTTTGCATTTTTTGGTAGAGATGGGGTTTCACCATGTTGGCCCAGCTGGTCTTAAACTCCTGACCTCAGATGATCTGCCCACTTTGGCCTCCCAAAGTGCTGGGATTACAGGTCTGAGCCACCGCGCCCGGCCCTCATTTTTAATCATGTGCTGTACTTGACCTCTTCCATGACTTTTCACCTCTCACTTAGCATCTGCCTCCAACTGTTTATAAAACTACTCTTGCTATAAACCAATGTCCAGTTCTAGTATAGTCCCCTTTGTAAAATATTTTCCTTTTATTATTGGACTGGAATAAAACCTGGACACTAGTTTTTTAAAAAGCCTCTTAGAAGATTCTACTGTGCACCACAAATTGAAAACCAATCCCCTAGTTCAGTAGTTCTCAAAATATGATCCCAAGACCAGGAGCATCTGTAGCATCTACAGACTTGCTAAAAGCTCTTAGGTGGACACAGCAGCCTTTGTTTTAATAAACTTGGTGGATGATTCTTATGCACATTCAAATTTCAGAACCATTGCCCTTGGCCTAAATGAATATCAGATCATTCTACTAGTTTTTCAATGTACTTTATTTATAATTATTACAGCATTCGGTGTTCCTCTAAAATGATATGGTTACGTGTAGAAATTTCTCATCTTTTTATTCTAGTATAAGCTCTTTGAGTTGTGGGATATGTTTATCTTGGTATCACCCATTGTGTTTATCAAAGTATTTTGCCTAAGAAGCTCTCCACAAATGTATGTTTGGTGCATTAAAGTTTTTAGGTGTAACTAGCAGGGAGAAATGGGAAGATGACATGCCGTTTATACTCCTGTGGATCTTGTATTAAAAAACAGCAATGTAACATATACTCATATAAAACAGCTAGCTGGCAAGATGTTTAATAATGATGTTTTATTAAGATAATAGCATGAGCATTAATTACATGATACCTTGTTCTCATAAGAAAACATTTTAATGTCTCTTTCTTGGAGAAAGCATTTTTAAATGTACAAACTCCTCAACACAAATTAGGTGCCATTGTCAGAATTACCTGCTGTATATCCTCCTTGTTGTGTGTTAGATTTTCTTTGCACAAGAAGACAATTATCTTCCTTTTGCCTTTCAATAATGCCTTCTCATTTTGCTTCCTTCTTGGATAAGGTGTTAATTTCTTTCTTTATTTTTCCTGTTAATCTGTATCACAAATGCTCCTAAATTGCTTTTGGGCAATCTGCTCTTGGTTTTCTGGGCCACAAGCCCACACTGACCATTTATTCACAGGTGTCTTACTGCCTGTGTTAAAAAGTAGCCCCAAGGTGTCAGTCTCTCCTTAATAACCTAATGCCTTTCACTTTAAACCATTTCATTCTGGAAAGTAATTTGTTTACTTACTAATTAGACCTCAGAAAATGACTTTTTTTTTTTCACTTAACCTTACAACAAACTATCACTGTCTTAGCCTTCTTCATTTCAGCACTTAACTGCTCTGCAGAAAGTTAAAAAAAAAAAAAAGCATTCTTTAGATTATAAGTTTCAGAAACCAAACTCAAACTAGCATAAGCAAAATACTGACTTGGCTTATGTAACAGAGATATCCAGGGGCTGTGGCCACTTCAGGCATGGCTCTCTCCAGGAGGGTCACAGGTCCTCAAGATACCGTTTCTCTCTCCATCTGTTGGCATTTCTTTCCTCTGTGTGGCCTTCCTTTTTGGGCAGGGTGGTTTCACATTTGGGTAAAGATGGTTCATACAAACCAGTGTTCTATTCTCAGAAGAAGACAAGGTGAAACCACCGTTCCTTCCCTAGAGCCCTAGTGAAGGACCTTGGGAGGCAGTCAATCAGACCCAGGCCACGCACACATTCCTGGGTGGGCTTGGCACTAGATAACACCAAGGAACTGTCACCAAGAGTGAGGGTCAGGATGCTGGACAAGCAAAGTCAATGAATTTCACTCCAGTTATGGAGATTGTTCCAGAGTCGTGGAACAATCTCCATAATTGGAGATCGAGCAGACGTGAAACAGACATGCTGTTCCAGAACCGTAAAGAGATAGAAGTCATATTCTACTTAAAAGGATAGCCACAATACCTACCAAATTTTAAGGACATTTTAAAAGTCAGTAACAATGTTAGGTGAGTTATGTGGATTGTTTGAAAACTCAGTAAATTCCATATTATCATTTCCATTTTAAGGGGAATTTAAAGTTACCTAGATAGTCATTGGGAAACTCAGGATTTAAACCAAAGACATTTTCTCTTTATCATCCATATTTTTTATATTATATTAGGCCATCTGAGTGAATGAAGTGAACATTAGACAGTGAGAACAAATTCTGTGTTACTAACTTTTGGTGTCAGATATCAGTTGCCCACCACTTCTCTGATTTCATTCCATTGAGTATTTATCCAGTTGGTTTTACAAGAGGTTTTCATTTTTGTGAGAATGAGAAAGATAGAAAACAAACAAGTAAATAAGTTAAACAAAGTCTTTCAGATGATGGAAAATGCAGTGAAGAAAATATAAAGCAAGCTGATCTATTAGGAGGTTAGTAATTTGGAGAAGGTAGTTAATGATGACTTAAATACTAGGTGATATTTGAACATTAACCTGAATCATAAGGAGACAGCTTTTCTAAAATCATGGGTAAGATCTTTCTGGAGACAGTGAATGGATGCAGTCGAGTCATAGGAATAAGCTTGTCATATTTGAGGAAGACACAGAAAACCAGTGGGTTTTCACCATGTGTTATTCTCTCTTTTCTACCTAAGGCTTTCCTTTTAGTCTCTCTGGCTATGAGCTATCATGCCTATCAGCCTCATTTTTTCCATGCCCCATTTAAAGGTAGTATATCTTTACCAAACTCATTCATTTTAATGTGTCCTGCTTATTGGCAGGAAGCACCAATGCCTGGTAAAAACACTATTGCGTTTACATTTACGGTTAAAACATAAATGCAAACAGTGTTCTTTGTGTCAAAATACTCCTTTCAAGTTTGAAGCGTTTAGATTATTACATTTAGAATATTATTTTCAGTATGAAATAAACAGTAAAATGAAATAAAAATAAAGAAAAAAATTGTATATTATGAGATTATTTTTGTGTGAAGTGGCAATTTTATACTGAATTTTGGGGCTTATGATTTGGCATATCTGAATGTAAATTCATCATTTTTGTAGGAAGGAAAGAAGAAAATTTTTTGAAGCAAATATTCTCTGATAGTATGCCTTTGTTGATAAAGAATGGCACATTTTCTTTAAAGAAAGTTTTCAAATCCAAGTATATTTTATGTAATAAGTAGAAGGAAGATAGATATTTTATTCATGTTAACAAGAAGTGCTATACAAATACCAATCTCAGAGCCATGTATTTTGGACAATTGTTCAACAGGAAATGTCTGTCAAGAAGTATTTCAGTGTTCTCATGATAATGCATCTGTGAAATGTGTCACTTCTCACTACTTCTGCAGGAAAAAAAAAAATCAGTAACTGTGCTCTCCTGAAATGGGATGAATATGAAGAATGCTAGGGACTTACTGCCATTTCATGTCTTTAAGTACAGCTGAGGAACAGCATGAGAAAGTGAAGGGACAGTGGGACTTCAGCTTCTGTGCCCTGTCTCTGGGTGTTGGCACATCTCCCCATCCCCTTCTCTTTCTTCCCCGAACCCTCAGCTCTATTTCACATTCCTTGTCTGATAACAAATAGTATATAGAAATAGAAAATTTTGTGTTCTATTGATAAGGATTTTGTAAACTACCTGAAGTCAACAAGATTACAGCTTAAGATTTGAGAGTGAGAACAAGAGAGAGAAAGAGAGAAGGAGAAAAAGAATATTAATTAGCATATAAATAATGCCATTGTCCTTAAATTGTTTTTATTTATAGAGCTACAGCTTTAGAGCTATTATGTGATGTGATTTCTTTTTAAATTAACCAGAAACATTCCAGATGCATGTTTATCTCCTCTATAGGAGTTTTTTATTTGTTTTCCCTTCTATCCTTTAGCAGAATTTCATTTTTTAATATCTTAAGATGCATTCATATTTTGCTTTCTTTAAGAGTAGCTGTAAACCAAATGTGTATATTCAATTCATTTCTGTGTGCAGACTTGGAAATCAGAGTTGTCATAGTTGTACTTTTTGTTTTATTTGAGAAGCGATTCTTTCCTGGCAGGAGAAAACAACGAAATCTACAAAGAATTTGAATTAGTTTATAATGCTTGAAAGTTTAGTGGATGTCTTTCCTACACATGAAATTTATGAAAAAGCTAACATTTACAAAATATGTTATATTCAAATGCCAAATTCTTGCACAAAGTAAAACTAAAGAACTGCTGGATACTTGCATGTATTCAACAAATACTGTGCTCCTATCAAGTACCAAGGACAGCGCCTCGTGTCCCAGAGCCGTACAAGAGATTAAGATTGCTGCCTGACAAGAACGTTTTGTCTGTAGGTTATGATAAATATTAAACAAAATTTTCACTAATAATCTATAGCAATATGTGAGACAAACTATTTAGGGAAAGTATAAAGTGCTGTGCATGTGTACCAGAGGAGAATCAATCTTAAGCCATCGGGGATGGGATGATGGTTGAAGGTTTCAGGAATGAATTAGAGGAAGTGATTTATAATCTGAGATCTGAAAGAGGCGTTAAGATTATAATATTAAGGGGAGATTTTTCTAGCAGAGGGAACAGCATGAGGGAAAATCCTAAAGGGGAAAGGAGAAATTGTAAGGTTATAGAAGCTGGAATTCAAGAGGAAGAGGGACCAGGAACATACCTGTGACCAGAATCAACATGTTTTATTTTACTTTCTCTGCATCCAGCTTTTTCTCATTTTTTTTAACCCAGCCTTCACCCAGGACACGCTTCAGCTCCATTTCTATTTGCTCAAATAGTGTGATTATTTAGGACCCATTTCAAATGTATCTTCTTAGAGAATGCTTTTAGTTATAGCTTCAGCTGGAATTGATCAGTCACTCTTGTCTTTTCAACCTGATAACCTGTTTGATTTCATTTGTTTTAATTTGGCCTGTGGGTTATTTGCCTGCCTTCCTTGATATATATTGAGGACAGCCACATCCTAGTTCCTCACTGTGCTTGGTACAAAGTTAGTACCATAAAAATAGTTGAATTGAATTGGAAACCAGTTTAATCATAATACATTGGCTGTCTTTTCTGTAGAATATCATTTTATTGAATTTATTCCAGTATCCAGCCTACTTTGTTTTATATCCCCAAAATTCCAGGCCATTTGAAAAGTGCAGATGCTGACTCTGTTGGAGCCATCTCAAGAAAATTCGTCAGCATAACCAAGGTTCATAAATTTCACATGAGGCAAGATCAGATAAAGTTGAAACTGTAGTGACACTTTGAAAGCAATGTACCTCTTCTTAATTTGAAAAATACTATAATTCCATGAAACCTTGCTACTATTGCTTTACTGAGAATGTGATATAACTACTATACATACAATTATGCATGTAGTATTATGTAACTTACCTGGACTGAACTGACTCTTATTTTAATTCAGGCTAATTTATTTGCGCTTAAGAAGTGTAAGTATAACTAATATCTATTTTACTTTCATGTTAAAGAAATTTTTAATGCTATTTTTAGGTAAGAGCAACAAATGAGATTAGAATTGTTTATGAGTTTTCATTTTCATGATAAGTCCTTTGTTGTGATAATATTTTTAAGGATAGATATTCTGGATGACAAGTAGAAGCAGATAAAATCATCTTCTAAAAGAATTCTTTGAAGAGAACCACCTCTGTCTCAGAGCTAATAAAAGCTATTGTTTTCACCAAAGCAAGGGGAAGATCAAAGTACTTTGTGCTCCAAATTTCCTTTGGAAATAAATGAAAGCTGGAAGTGTCAAAGGGAAAATAAGCATACTACCCAAAAAGACAGTTAGGGAAATATACTCTGTGAGGAAAAATTTTCTGTGCTTATGGAAGCAAGATTGATTTTTATTTTTAACTTTGCTGACTTTTCTACCTGATCACAAGGACAATCCGTCTTAAAAATATATTCAAGGCATCTTAGTCAAGCTCCTTTAGTGAATTCTTTTCCTATTGCTTTTGTTCAGTTCCTTTTTGCTGACACTTCAGACTTCTTTTGTTTTGTGGCTGTACCATGCAGGTGAATGAGTGATTATAAATTATCCTTTCAAAGCTTTATCCTTACACCAGTCAGGAAATTTTGCTTGCAGTCAGAGCTTTTGATGTAAAAGCCATGATTTTAACTTAGAATAAATTAATATGGATTTACTGAAACTCATGGTTTGTGTGAAGAATAGAGCTTTAGGTTTATAAAATTAGCTGCCTGGTTGAATGCCACCCCCCAACTTCAGCTGGGGGCACAGCTCTATTTTATGTAGATTCAAGTTTATGGAATTTTGTCAGTCATTTAGGAAAAGAATCAACACATTTTGGCTTGGCTTTTCGTAATTTCTGTTAGAATGACATCCATTTTAATTTCCTTGGCCAATTCCTACATCTTTCCTCACATGCCCCCAAATTTGTCACCACCTCCCCCGCTGAGGTCTTCCTACCTTCCTTCCATTAGTCTTTTAAAAATAATTCTATTCCATGATTCTATTATAACACATACCCATTATGCTTTATATACTTTATGTGTCTGTTTCTCCTTTTTGCCTTGTTTTTTTTCTTGTTTACCCTTGCTGACAAAGTGACTACTAATAGATTATTATTAATAAATATTTGTATGTATATAAA